TTGGACTAGATGACCTCCAAGGTCCCTTTCAACTTTATCATCATCATCATCATCATCATCATCAGCAGCAGCAGCAGCAGCAGCAGCAAGGTTCATAGGAGAAGTACTTTAATAGAGCATGTATTTTACAGGCAGTTTCCCTATCATGAGAAGGCTGAGAAAAAACTGTCCTATGTGTTTAGAAAAGGGAATTTCAACATGACAATCAGCCTCATTTGTTCTGCTTCCTTCCTATCTCCCTTCTATCTACTGATCCCATCTTATTTACACAGAGGTAGAACTGGTGATGGAGAGCATGATGGACTACAGTCTGTGTGCCAAGCAATACCTGCAGATGCTCCCCTTCTCTCTCTCTCTCTCTCTCTCTCTCTCTCTCTCTCTCTCTCTCTCTCTCTCTCTCTCTCCCCCTCTCTCCCCCCACATACACACATTTTTTAAGCATCCACTTCCCTTCTAGAAGCAGGACTTCTGCCCATGTGTTCCCCTGTCCCTTCTCTTCTCTGAACTCTAGACCACAACTCTAATTGGCAGAGACAATGTTGAATCAGAGGTGCCATAACTTCAGGGCTTCCCCAGGGCCCATTCAGACTTACCCTATTTTGTAGTACAGTATAGTAATTGCAAGATATATTGTCTGAATAGCACCTCCATAAGACCGATGTTTAAAATTATATATTGCAAAATTTTATAGATTTAAACAGAAAAATACTTAAGCCTACCATATGACATATTTTGAAAGACCTCAAATAATGCTGTTTCTATAATCTTGAAATGAAGATAAGTCAGCAACCTTAATTGACAGTTTCCATTTTGCTTCTTTCAGAAACTGTTTCCCTCAAGCTCTTATTAATCATCTCATACAATATTTTTTTTTCTTTTTTATGTGTGTTTCTACAGCAATTTAGAGACGGAGAAGTTGTGTGGTAAGTACTCAATGGGTACTCTTGCTGTGGAATATATACTTCCCAACTTTCCTTAATATATCTGGGGGTGGGATTTTTTGCCCTTCTTAGATGTGATCTATTTCTCTTCTCTGCATTGGACAAAAAGCTTGTTCTTTCCTCCAGTATGGTGCCGTAGAGATATGCCTGGACCATTTCTGCCAAAATTTCCAACACATTGGCCAAAGTTATTTTAGGAGTTTCAGTTGTGATACATTCAAAAAGTGCCATATTTATGAACCTGCCCTGTTCTATTCTCTAATGCCACAGAAATTGATTGTGATCTTGAAACACAGATTATATGATAATGGAGCATTATCTATTATCTAACAGATAATAAATAATAAGGGTGGGCAATTAATCCTCCCAAGGAGCCATGTGAGAAACTGGGACTGTTATGGAGGGCTGCTGCCATGGCCCTGCCCCCAACATCCCACCCCTGCTAACAAGAATGTCAACACCGTGGGCCAGAGAGGCATAGCTGAAGGATGTGGTCTGTGGGCCATAAAATGCCCAGGTATGCAATACAGGAAGTCCTCTACTTACAACAGTTCATTTACTGACTGTTTGAAGTTACAATGATATGAAAAAAGTAAATTATGATCATTTTTCACACTTATGACTTTGCAGCATCCTCATGATCAGTGATCAAAATTCAGATGCTTGGCAACTGGTTCTTATTCATGACGGGATCATGTGATCACCTTTTGTGATCTTCTGACAAGCAAAGTCAATGGGGAAGCCAGATTCACTTAAGAACTATATTATTAACTTAACTGCAATAATTCACTTAACAACTGTGACAAGGAAGGTCATAAAATAGGGCAAAACTCACTTAACAAATGTCTGGCTTAACAATAGAAATTTGGGGCTCAATTGTGGTCATATTGCTTTAAAACCATGAGGATAAAATGGCATGTTGTTTTTGAATTAATGAGCCTTTCTGCATGACCATTTTATTATACAGGCTCTGCCGGTTGTAAACTATTGACAGCCAACCAGGGTAATGCCCTGCAAAATCTGAAACACTCTCCCTCTTACCATGCTGTGAAAACCAGACATTTTTTTTCCCCTTGGTGCTTTAATTCCTGATGAAACTTTTTTTCTAACCAGGTTCACCCTGTGTTAGTCAGATTCTGCTTTCTCACAGGATGAACTACAGACTGTTTGCCTCCTCGCTGTGTTTCACTCAGCCCAGCTTAAAAAAAGAAGCCTTTGAATGCTTCTGTAGTACTAGCAAACATACTTCACAGAGTGTGCTAGATTTGTGCTATGCTGAAGAGAAAACGTCTTGCTTCTTTTTTCATGATGAGAGAGGGGTTGTTTGTTAATTCATGGGACCTAGGGAAAATCTCACAAGAGGGAAATAAAGTCAGCAAGAAGCTGGAGCCTTGGCTGTCATTGCTCAGTGCTCAGCTATTGGCTTAATTCAGTATTGTAGTGATTGCCTGAAAGTGCTCCCTGAAAGCTCCAAATTTTCCTGAGCTGGGAGGATGGAGTAGAAAAATTGTAGGTTGTATTTAAAATATTTTGAGAAGGACTTGCAAATGAAATGGGTGGTTGTGTGGCAGAGTGCAGTAACAAAAGCATTTTCCTCCTTTCTGCTGCAGATTATTTCTCAGAACATCTTGGAGAATACAGACATGTTTTATCTGCTCTGGAGCAACTCAACACGGCTGTCTTATCAGCTATGGATAAAACCAAATTGGTAAGTGTGAGTTTCTTTCCAATATTATTCTTATGGATGGCTTTAATTAGTTTCCTTTACCTACTTTTGAATATACTTGGTGCAATGTAATGGACATTCCAAGCCTTTATTGTGCTCATGGGAATGTGTATTCCAGAGATCAATTGAGGAAAAAATTCGTTTAATTTGTTCCAACCTGGGACAAGGCTTCACAGAGGCAATTAGATAAGCACCTTTGGGTCATTTAGAATATCCAAAATTTTATAAGTATATAAAATGGATCAATTTTCTATTTCAAATTGCTCTCATACACTTAAGGCCCAGGTTCCTTTTTGTACTCCTAAGCACAACTACTAAGGTATAGGCTTATTTCAGAAAACATGAATTGGACAGCAGAAGAAAGAGAATGGCTTTCAGAATACTGAGTTGTAGAGGGTTACTACTGATAGAAAAGGATAGATGTGTGGATTCCAGATAGTTTCTATTCAATAAAAAAAAATAATGTGGGCTCAATAAGACAGCAATAACACATACTGTATAGTTGTGGAATCCAAATGGAGAGTTATTGTAGAATGTTAGCTTGCCATAAATTTGATCTTTCAGATGGACCTGGAACAGGAATGTACCACCTATGAATTCAGAGCTCTATATGGTTTCCAAACCTGTTGGTATAAATTCCATAATTCCTCTAAATGTTGCTACTGAGTCATAATTTATAATATAATGGGAAAATGAAATTGTTACATAAATGAATAGCAATTACATGGACAGTTATCAGATATACAGATTTTATTTAAATTAAATCAGTTTTAGGTTTTGGTCCTACACATTTTTTTCTTGAGCCTTGCCATATTTTGTGCTGCAGACATTGACACACAATTCAAAGACCAGATGCAGTCCTTGACCACAAAAAGAAAAACCATTCATAATGAAAAAAGAACAAAGATGCCAACAGCAGTTTTATTTGGTAAATGGGGTAGGAAAAATGTTCATAATTACATACATTGCATTTGTTGGTAATGAATCACACTAGGTTTTACACAGCAAGCTGAAGGTTGTGTTTCCAAAGGGGCCAAGATCTCAATTTTCTAGTTTTCTATTTTCCCAAGCATCTTCAAATGGCAACACTTAAAAGTACCTATTTTGCTTTTTAAACCAAAGCCAGCTCCATCCCCCCAAACCCCAAAATAACATATAGTAAGTTCAGAAGCTGTCTATCAGAGTTGCTTCTGGGAATTGAAAAGGAAATTGGTGGGCCTGCTTTAAAACACCAATTAAATAACATTTGTATTCTACTCCAAAAATGACAATGATATGTATTCAAACTTTGATGGAAGATTATCTGTTCTGATTATCTCAAATGTTTAACATTCCTCCTAATTCTCTGGATCACACATCAACTAAAATGGAAGATAAAACAATTCCAAACCCAATAATACTGTTTCAGATAGTCTCAAAATATATTGAAAATGAAAGAATAACAGGTTATTGATGTTTCTTCTGATGAAATTCTTCTATAAAATAGGCATGACACAAAAGTCATATCTGAGTAATGACCTTCCTATTTGAGTAGGATAATCATTTGTTTGACCTGATTACATGTATGAGAATATCCCATTATTCTGAAAAGCAAACTTTGGAATATACTGTAAATAGAATGAATCAGAAAGACTAAAGACTAAAACATTGTTTTTCAAACTCAGTGGCCTAAAGCATAGCTACATATTGTGAGAATTGTAATCCAACATATCTGTATTGCAGTAGCCGAATATTGCTGCTCTGGAACTTAAACTAGCATATAATAAAAAATATTTAAATGAAGCTAAATCTATATCCTATGTTAATTTACATTAATTCTATACCAATGTGTGATTTCACATAATTGTACTGATTATTTTTCTTGAAATAATGAGAATGTGCTATAAATGTATATATTTAATATTTAATATTTACACTTTTTTGTATTGGAGGAGCCTCCATTCAAGTATGAAGGTAGCTAAGGGTTTTCTCCTGCAAGGAATTTCCTTGCTATTATGAAAGAGTAATATATTCAGGTAGTTTTGGGGTTAATAGTTTGTTTCTTGCTGGAAACTTCTTTTTTAACCTACTGCATAATGTATTAAGACAATAATATTGCAATAAATTATACTTCTCTGAATATTGACAGCATAGAAGTTATTTTGTCCATAGATTTCTCTCTGCTCATATTAATATTTAGAACTGAAATCATTAAAATTTTGGTTGGATAGAAAATACAGTCACAAATAGAGAGCAAACTGTGTTCTTATTCTCTTCCCCATTAGTGTCTTGCTTTATAGCTCTATTCTAATGACTAGGATGATAGTCTGAATGTCATTGAAACATATCTTAACCTACTTAAATTTCTTGTGCACATATGCTGCTCCATGCTCTTGATAGTCTTGTTTTCTCATCCACAAGCTTTGGAAAGAGCTGAGTGAGGCTGCCAAGGAACCCCCAAGCCAAACTGCTGTACCTCTTTTGGGGGAAGCCAGAATTTTAATAAAGTACTCTCTACCATGGAATAAAGCATTCAATTCCAAGCACATCCTCTCTGGAAAACCAGGAAACAATGAAGAACCTCCTGACAACACAATATTATTAATGACTTCTCCTTTGAACTTATCTGGAACCTTCTGCAGACTTTGGAAGACCAAATGATGAAGTCCTGGAGAGCTCTGGTTGAGCAGATGAGGCTTGAACAATGGCTCTGGGCAGCAAAAGCGTTCTTTGTCTAAAGTTAACAAGTGCCCATCAGGGGTCTCAATGCTCACAGGTTCATGGCAAGTTTTCTCTTGGAGATCCCTTTTGTAATCCATAGACACATAGCAGTAGTTTTTCTTAAGTTGTGTTACCATCTTTTTGTTCAAGGTGCTAAGAAGATATAGATTGTTCGAGCTGTTCAGCAGCAAGTTATGCATGTATTTGCAGAGACCATTTCCAGCCACATCCAATCGATAGATACCTTCCATACATGTTTGTCCAGAGTATATTGGAGTAACATGGGAAATCCCTGCCCCAGCTTCTATAGCCAGTCCAGTAATTCTACCACAGTAACAGAGTGAGAGGAACCCTGTATTGGCCACATACAAAGCTGGGACACTAAACCCTTCAAAAAATACCTCTGCCATCTTCTCTCTGTTGGTGGTCGGACAGGAAGGGGAATCACTTGTCAATATTGGATGGTCCTCAGTGGAAACTTGCAACCCACAATAAAAGAGATGGCTCCATAAGTTCTCCATGGCTTGCCAATCTAGTATAATGCCATGCTTTAGTGGCTGAGTTTGCAATTTTTCATCATTGAGAGAACAGACAGGATGATAGATAGGAGGAAGAGATGCAGTTTTCATCACAATTCTTGGCTTTTCTTCACCTGCAAAGCCTGATCGACAGAAACTGCTGCCATTGTCTACTACAAGTGCAACTTTCTCCATAATCTTGCACTGTGCCTCTTTGATGTCCTGGATGAGAAAATCACTGGGAAATAAAAGAAGGGGAAAAGACGCCAAACTTTTAAAAATGCATTTATTGTCTCAGGGACTTCTAACGGCTGTGCTTTTAATCACTATTTGATTGAGGAAGAGACTCAGGATATCTGATCAATCCTATAGAAGAAATATTCAACATTGAAGAAAAGGAGGAAATTGTTTTCAGCTCCCATTGGGGCTGCTTTAATGTGTGGTTAGATAAACAAACAGAACCTGCTTGGCAAATACTTTTGCTGAAAAGTAAGGTAAAAATTATATAAATAAAAGAATAGTAAAAATATGTCATTTCAGGACCAAATACCAATAGCACAGAATTTTTTTTAATGCAAAGTGATATGTTTTTTTGTAGACCAAAGAAAAATTAACTGACAAAATATTTGTCAGCATTGTTAATAATGTGTAATATTCCCATCAGTTTTAGAGACTGATCATTCTTAGCAAAACTAAGAATGGTTTTTTTGGTCCTTCATATTAGTTTTTTTTTTTTTTACAGAATGGGATGGATAAAAAAAGTTATAAAAATATAGTTCATATTTCAAGTTCTCAAGTGAATTTACCTTCGGAGTAAAGTACAGCTATAATCTAATTTTTTATAAGTTACAGATACAACACCTAATGCTATATGTGTGAGGGACATGTCACAGAAGCCCTTCTAACATTGCAAGCAATCCAGAAAAATATATTCTCATTTTGTATTCATGATATAATATCACTGAAATCCATGACATAGTCCTTAATACTCTTAGAAAATATTATGATTTTCAGAGAATACGTAGGGAAATCAGTAGTGGGATTCAGCCAGTTCGCACCGGTTTGGCAAAACCGGTAGCTAATTTTTTGTTGCTCAGGCCCAGAATGGACTTCCGGAAGTGGCATCCCCACAGAGAACCAGTTGTTCACATATTTGAATCCCACCACTGAGGGAAATCCGTGACAAAAATCCTGCAGGCTACTTCCAAATGCCCAGGAGATCTGTGTAAATGCAGATTGTATCTCGCCTATAGGTCTTGCATCCTGTATTTCCTTCCAAATATTTTTGTGAGACTTATAAAGAACTGTTGTGTTATTTTTGGAAGGTCTTTTTTGTGGAAAAGCAAAATGTCCTCTGGCAGTGTGTAACAGCATGCCATCTTATTTGCACAGTTCTGTCCCATCAAAATCTGAAAAGGTGAAATCTATGAGGCCCCTTTTTCTCAGGTCCTGGTTTTATTGTAGGGCTTAAACCAGTGTTTCTCAACCTGGTTAACAATGTTAAGGCATGTGGACTTCAGCAATGCTGGCTGTGGAATTCTGGGAGTTGAAGTCCACATGCCTTAACATTGTCAAGATTGAGAAACACTGGCTTAAACAATCTTCTCTTGCTAAATCCACATGGAGATTACTGGCAACATGTAGAGGAGGGACAAGCTGAACAGTTCAGGAGAGCTAGTTTATGAAGCCAGATTGTTTGGAAACTGATACCTTCCTCAAGCTAGGGAAGGACTGATGAGAGGCAGCTGAGTTTAGGTGAGATTTTAACTATTAGAATATACAAGTTAACACAACAGGTGACTAAGATTGCTGGAAACAATTTTTCATCCTACCTGATCTCCAGAAATCTCAGCCTTAATTTCTTAACAGAGATTGCTCAAAACTTTTTTGTATCTATTGCATGGGTTATACTTTTGATACATGAACAGAGTATTATTGTACCTTTCTAGAGCATCCTTGTTTGTATATATTCACACTCTCAGCCAACCTCTTTACTCTCATTCTCTCAATATTGTTAATATTAATGTCTCTTGATATTCAAGTTCCTAACAATTTTCACAGCATTTGTAATGTAGTAAGGGATGGAATCTGTTCTGATCCATGAATCTGCTCACTAATCTTTAACAACACTCCTGGAAACCTCTAGGAAAGAGAACCTTGGGACAGATGCTGGCCAGACTGAGAATCAGTAGTTGATGGATGAAGATATTCAAGCTCACTAGGAATTCTTAGATTCCACTGGTTCCCCCGCCCCAAGAATTCACTTTTATGATGTCATCAGATTCTATCATGCCTTCTTTCCCTTCTCTTCATACATATTTCAAACATATTAGTTCTATTTGATATCTGACTCAACAGTGTTATTTTTATCCAACTAGTTT